GGCCTCCCAAAGTGCTGGGATTACAGGCATGAGCCACCATGCCCAGCCTGTGCTGTGATTCTTGAAGCTGCAACCCATGTGCCTGCAAGTGAATTTCAGCTTCCAGTCCTCTCCATAGCTGCACCTAAGTTTGGAAGCTGGATGTGCATGTATGCATGTCCATGACCTTGTATGGTCACATCTGGGACTCATACTGCACAATGAACTTGGCTGACATGTCCAGACTCTGGGGCCAAGGCTATGTCACACATACTGAGTGGCCACATCCGTTTGATGTCAGTGACAATTTGGTGAACTTGAAGGATTGGTTTCAAGTGACCCACTGTCTGAACCTGTATCCAGTGCCCCTGTCTCCACCCCCAACCACAGAGGACTTCTTGCCCTCTGGTCTGTTCCCCTTCCTGTCTCTCCCCGAGTCTTATAGCAAATGGGGTGGGGGCTCGAGTTTTGGAGAAAGCAGGCAGCAGTTGTAAACAAACAACAGGGCAGGCCACTGCACTTCAGCCTGCGCAAGAGAGTGAGACTCGGTCTTAAAAAACAAAAACAAAAACAAAAAACAGAGCAAGGTATCTTGAGAAGTTAGAGGAAAGGCATAGGCATATAGTAGTTAGGGTAGGGTGCAAGGAAGGTGTAGGAGGCAATGCAAAGGTCCCTGTCCTCAGGCATCCTCTACCCCTTCTCCTAGCAGCCCAAGATGGTGACAAGTTGCTGGAAGGTGACGAGTGTGCACCCCACTCCCAGCCATGGCAAGTGGCCCTCTACGAGCGTGGACGCTTTAACTGTGGCGCTTCCCTCATCTCCCCACACTGGGTGCTGTCTGCGGCCCACTGCCAAACCCGGTATGAAGGCAGGGCTCAGGGTCCTGAGGGAGCCTGGTGCGGGGAAGAGCTCCTAGGTTTGGGGGAAGACGGAGGCAGACGCCAGAACTCCTGGGTTCTGAAAGACGAGGAGGCTGGATGTCAAGCCTCTGGGTGAGAGGGGAGTGTGTGTTTCAAAGCCTTAGATCTCTGAAGGGGTAAGGAGAAGACTCGTTCCAGCTTTTAAGCCTCAGTTCTAGGGATGTGAGAATCCTGGAATCAGGGAGAGACCAGCAGGGGGCTGGGAGTAGTTGGAGGGGACAGAGTTCTAGGAGTGTGCCGGACTTCAGACTCGTTGGTCCTTGAGGAGCATTTTGGCTTCAGGGTCTTGGGAAAAGGTAATGGGATGTCGAGATTCCTAAAGGGTCGGGGGACCTCGGGCTGCCCACTCTTTGATCCTTCTGTCCTCTACTCGCGGGTAACCACTGGCGGGAAAACCACTCGCCCGCACAGCTTCATGAGAGTGCGCCTGGGGGAGCACAACCTGCGCAAGCGCGATGGCCCAGAGCAACTACGGACCGCGTCTCGGGTCATCCCACACCCGCGCTACGAAGCGCGCAGCCACCGCCACGACATCATGTTGCTGCGTCTAGTCCAGCCCGCACGCCTGACCCCCCAGGTGCGCCCCGTGGTGCTACCTACGCGTTGCCCCCACCCGGGGGAGGCCTGTGTGGTGTCTGGCTGGGGCCTGGTGTCCCACATCGAGCCTGGGACCACCCGGAGCCCCCAGTCACAAGGTGCGTGAAAGGATGGAGCTGGATGCGAGGCCTCAAGGAATCCTATGCTCCAGGGCTCTTGGGCGGAGGGGACAAGGGCCAGAATTTATGGATCTGCTCCAAGTCCACTGTCCTCCCCAGTGAGTCTCCCAGATACGTTGCATTGTGCCAACATCAGCATTATCTCGGACACGTCTTGTGACAAGAGCTACCCGGGGCGCCTGACGAACACCATGGTGTGTGCAGGCGCGGAGGGCAGAGGCGCAGAATCCTGTGAGGTCAGAGCCCAGAGGGGCCCTCAGGCGGAAAAAGAGGGATGGAGACAGGTGTGGGAGTTCGGATGGGGTTGTATTTTCTTTGCTTTGGGCCAGAGAAGATGCTAGGGTTAGGCTTGGAGATGGAGTAGGAAGAGAAGTTAGAATAGGGGTGAGGTTGGAGTTGGGGTTATAGGTGGGGATTGCGTTGTTTGAGGTGGATAATGTGATAGTTGGTTTGAGATGGCATGGGTTGGGGCTGAGAATGGGAATGGTTTGGTTTGATTTTGGGTGGGAAACATGTTAGGATCGAATTGGGATGAGGTAGATTTTATTTGGAATGCAGAAGACACGAAGATTGAGATTGGATTTTGAGATGGGCATGGGTTTGGTTTGATTTTGAATGGTGAGGATGTGGGCTGGGTTGGATTTAACTTAGTTCAGTTGCACTGGGGTTGCATGGGGGTGAGATTGGACATAGGTTGGGTGAGTTGTATTGAGCTGTGTTGAACTGGGGTTGGGGTTGGGTTGGCTTCGTTTGGGATAAACTGGGATAAACTGGGACAATCCCAACTGAGTTGGGTTGGGATTCCCTGGGATGGGGATGGATTGGGTTTGGGGTGAGATTGCAAATGGTGATTAGGATGAGGATGAATGCACTGAATCCAGGAGGTTTCACTCAACCTGAGACCCCATCTTTTCCCCACAGGGTGACTCCGGGGGACCCCTGGTCTGTGGGGGCGTCCTGCAGGGCATTGTGTCCTGGGGTGATGTCCCTTGTGACAACACCACCAAGCCTGGTGTCTATACCAAAGTCTGCCACTACTTGAAGTGGATCAGGGAAACCATGAAGAGGAACTGACTATTCTGGCCTATTACCTGTGCCCCTGACTGAGCAGAGGCCTCCACAGCTGGCCAGCAGCCCCACCTGACATGGAACAGAATGGAGCCATCCCCCAAGACCCTGTCCAAGGCCCAGATGTTAGCCAAGGATTGTCCCACCTGAGGACAAAGCTGGTGCTCAAGGTCACCTGTTTAATGCCAAGATAACAAAGCACTGATCCAAGCTTCTCTGTAGGAATTTCTGTGACTTTTTTCTGGGGTCAAAGGGAAACCCAGAGACACTGTACACTGTTCCTTTTCACCCACCACCCCGATCCCTAGGTGAGGTGAAGCGGCTTGAAGCAGGGCTCCATTCATTCAACACACATGACCACCCATGTGATCTTGAACAAGAGGCCCAATCTCCCTTGGCCTTGGTTTCCCCATCTGTAAAATGAGACCATCTTATTGCTGACTTCAAAGGGCTATTTTGAGGATTAAATGAGATGATTCCTCTGAACTGATTAAAATAGTGTCTGGCACTGAGTAAATACCCTCTATCTCTGGATCTCACTTACAGGACCTAGCAGACACTAGATTACCAACAATGGCTTTTTCTTTAAGATTTTTTTTTTTTTTTTTTTTTTTTTTTGAGGCGGAGTCTTCACTCTGTCGCCCAGGCTGGAGTACAGTGGCACCATCTCGGCTCACTGCAAGCTCCGCCTCCCGGGTTCACGCCATTCTCCTGCCTCAGCCTCTTGAGTAGCTGGGACTACAGGTGCCCGCCACCGCGCCCGGCTAATTTTTTGTATTTTAGTAGAGACGGGGTTTCACCGTGTTAGCCAGGATGGTCTCGATCTCCTGACCTCGTGATCCGCCTGCCTCGGCCTCCCAAAGTGCAGGGATTACAGGCGTGAGCCACCGCGCCCGGCCTTCTTTAAGATTTAGTTCTGGGCTGGGCACGGTGGCTCACACCTGTAATCCCAGCACTTTGGGAGGCCAAGGCAGGCCTTGAACACTTGAGGTCAGGAGTTCAAGACTGGCCTGGCCAACATGGTGAAACCCCATCTCTGCTAAAAATACAAAAAAATTTAGCCGGGCATGGTGGCACATGACTGTAATCCTAGCTACTTGGGAGGGTGATGTGGGAGGATCGCTTGAACTTAGGAGGCAGGAGTTTCAGTGAGCTGAGATTGCGCCACTGCACTCCAGCCTGGTGATAGAGCAAGACTCCATCTCAGAAAAAAAAACAAAAATTAGGTTCCGGGCTTCCTGGTAGCCATGGCAAAAAGGCAAATACTGTCCTTTTCTTAGCCAGGTCCCTGATACACAGCAGAGGCTGGAACTCTGAGCTGCTTTGATTTTACCAAAAAACCAAGACAACATGTTGGAAGCCTATGGGTTTACCATTGAGGCTGCAGGAATCTAGTTCCTAATTATCTTCAGAGACTACAAAATGTGATGTTCAAGGTAGCTGAACGTTGGAAGTACATGAACCTGGCCCATGAGACCTAAATATTGTACTGATGGAATGGGGGTTGGGGGGAGGGGTCATTGGAATCTGTGGTTAGTCTGATCGTGACCTGTGAGGGAAGGTTGTCCAGATCTCTAGGACTTTGGAGGACAGGACGTTGAGCACCCATAACTGGGAGTAAGAAGTGGGAGGCTCATTGGGACCCCAACATTGTTTGGGAGGGACGTTGGATTTTGTAATGCTAAAGAACTTACCCTGGGAGACCCCTGAAACTTCACATTCCTGGATCTGGAGGCACTAGGAATGCAGTGATGTGTACCCCAAAATTTTATTATAAAAGGAACAGTAGCTTTGGGGACCTAGGTCCTGGGTCTGGAAGTGCAAGAACCAGGGCATTCTGAAGGCCAAGGCTTATATTTCAGGGGGAACTGGCAGCTGAGATGCTAGTATCTTGGCTCTGAGCGGTGCAGGGAATCAGAGCCCTAACTGCTGATATTTGAGGGCACCAGGCCTTGGGGTGCAGGGCCTTAATTGGGACTTAGGTATATGGGGCTTTGTACCGGGGGTCACTGATTCCTCCGCCCTCCTGTTTCTGCTTCCCCTCAGTGCCCCCTTGCCTCACTGGCTGTTCCCCAGAGCAAAGCCCCAGAGCCACAGGCCCTGCCCCATTTGGCTTCAACCCCAGGAATGCGTCCAGCGTGATCCAGGGCCTGCAGAGCAGGTGCTGGCTCTCCCTCCGCGTCCACAGCTCTGGGGATCGGGGCGGGGGGGGGGGTGCGATTGTTCAGCCCCCAGGCAACAGGGGAAGGGCCTTGGCCAACATCTGGGAGCCAGCAGGGCAGGGGTGGGGCTCTGAGGGGATAAGAGCTTTTAAAAGGCTCCCCAGGGAGGTTCCCCAGCTCCTCCACCTGCCGGCCCCTGGACACCTCTGTCATCATGTGGTTCCTGGTTCTGTGCCTCGCCCTGTCCCTGGGGGGGACTGGTGAGACAGTGGGGGGATGTGGGAGGGGGAACGGGCCCTGATTCTCTTGCTGCCCTCACCCTGCCAATAAGCCCTTCCCCTCCAACAGCCCAGCCTCGTCCCTCCGGCCCACAGTCTATCCTGGTTCGGGGTGCCCCAGCTCTTATCTATCTTGCATGGCCCCACCCTAAACTTCCACCCCAGCTCCTCCATGTTGTCACAGTCCTCACTCCCACACCAGATCCCTGCTCCTCCCACGAAGCCTCAGTACTTTCTTCTCTTCCCTAGCCAACGCCCTGTCCCACCGCTTACCAAAGGGGCAGATTCTGGGCCATCTCTGTCTCTCTCTGGAGGACCCCAACTCTCCCATGGGCTTCCCCAACCCCACAGGACCCCGATCATCCCCCCCTGCCCCCTAGGTTCCCTGCGGCCACCTATTTGTCTCCTGAGTCTACAAATCCCACCACGCTCCAGTGACTTTTTCCATCCAGCTGTCCACTCTCAACTGTGTCTTCCAGACCCTGACATCTGGTCTCCCCAATCCTTCCAGGGTCCCCCAAATTTCACCCGACAACCCTGCTTCCCAAACTGGCATGTGGGATCCCCCATCTGGTATGGGGGGTCTGCAAATGTCCCTTCCCACCCAGCACCCCCAGCTCTCCCAGGAAAAACACGTACACCCTCCCACCACAAGCTCCTTTCCTTGGGGAATTTCCATCCCGGCCCAGTCCCCAGCCCTTCTCCACCTGAATTGTTCCTGCACAGCTCTGGTTTTCTGGAACCCCACCCCAAGGATCCTGAATGCCTTCTCAGCCAGCCCTTCCGCCCTGGCCTCCCCCAAGTCCACCAGTATGTGATTCTACAACCTCACATCGAGCGGGTCCTGCATTGCATTCCCACACCTGCTCGGCGCCTGTTTTGACCACTTCTCTCATCCTCTTCCTGGGATTGAGGGCCCCACATTCCTCCAGTACCCTCAGACCATGAACCCCATCCCCTTGAGAAACAAAGATCCATCCTTCACCCTGTCTGAGAAGGACGGCCACTCACGCCTCCCTCCTCCTGAGCCCCGTCCCAGTCCTGACCCCAACTCTGTTCTCAGGGCCCCAACCTCCCCTCAGATTGCCATTCCCGGTTCACAGGAAGGACCCCAAAACCTCTCGGAAGCCCACCCCTACCCTTAACCATAGCCCTTTATTTTACCCTTTAACCAGGAAGCCCTGAAATCTAACTGTCCCAGCCAAGCTGGCCCCTTGCAACCCCAGTGTAGGGACCCCAAGTCACCCCCAAACTCGTCAGTCCAGATGCTCTTCTTGACCTCTCAGACCCGGTTCACTAAAGCTGCATCCTCTCCTGAACCCCCAAAGCCCAACCCAGATCCTGTTTCCCTAGCCTGGGAGCCCCTTAGCCCTCCAGATTCTTCCTTAGTGAGCCTCTGATCCTGTCTCACCCTTGGCGCCTTGATCCCTGGTTTCCAGAATCGCTTTCCACTCTCCTAACCCACCACCTCCCATCCCCCAGCCCCAGACCCCAAATGACCTGACACCCAGATGCAGTGTCGGCTCCAGACACTGTCTCATGTCTGCTACCCTGATCCCTGGAGGCTGCTGTACTGTCAGAGCATGAAATCTCCCCACCAGGGCCAGCCAGCACTCCAAAAGCCCAGGGAACAGTCCAGAGTCCCAGCCCTTCCCAACACCCCTTGCCCATGTCCCCAGACCTCCAGCCCTGGTCCTCTACCTGCAATGTCCCTTCAGACCCACAGCCCCAGCTCCTTCTCCTAGCCTTGTCCCTGGCCTCTCCTGCCAACCCTGCCCTCCCTGACCCAGCACCGCCTCTGCAGGTGCTGCGCCCCCGATTCAGTCCCGGATTGTGGGAGGCTGGGAGTGTTCCCAGCCCTGGCAGGCGGCTCTGTACCATTTCAGCACTTTCCAGTGTGGGGGCATCCTGGTGCATCCCCAGTGGGTGCTCACAGCTGCCCATTGCATCAGCGAGTGAGTAGGGGCCTGGGGCCTGGGAGGAGGGCATCTATGCTGCCACAGGATTGAGAGGCCAGTGGCATTCCCCTTGGATAACCTCAGGCAAGACAGGGAGGCTGAGGCAGAGAGGAAGGCTCTGGCGCAGGTCGCATGGCAGGGCAGAGCTGGGCTGGACACCCTCCCCAAGGCTCCCCGGGTCTCTTGGGATCTGGTTCTGCTTGTGCCTCTGTGTGACTGTGCTTTGGTCTCTATCTTTCTATCTCTTCCCTGTCTCCTTGTCTCTGCATCTCCCCTGTCTCTGTCTGTCTCTGGGTCTCTCTGTGGCATCTCCGTCACGGTGTCTCACCCTCCATCTCTCTACCCCTCTCTCTCTCTCTGGGTCTCTACTTCACCCTCCCCCATCCCTACTAAAAACACACCCAGATGGGCCTAAGGGAGGCCCCAGAGTGAAGGAAGGGCTTTATCCCCAACGTGCGTGCCTGGGAGAGGGACACAGGGAACAGCTGGTTTCAGCGGGAGCTGGGTGGGGCAACTGAGGGAGGAGGAAGGAGGCGGGGCGAGAAACGCGGAGGAGGGTGCTGGGGAGGGAAGGGGGCCTCGACCTTGGACTTCAGGCCAGGCCACCTGTCCCTGGGGAGCCCGCACCACAGCCCCAGCTGCAGCTGAGCTGCTCTCAGGCCTCCCCTCCTCCCTACCTGCCCCCCCCCCTCCCCAGGGCCTCCCTCCCTTTCTCTCCCACACTCGGTCACTCCTCCTTCCTCTCTGCCTCTGTTTCTCGTTCTCGCTCTGACTTCCCGCGTCCTTTTTCGTTTGTCTGCTTCTCGCTCCCTTCTGGGTTCTGTTCCCTCTTCCTCCCTCTTCCCTGGGCCTGTTTCTCGCTGTCCCTTTCTTTTCTCCTTCTCACCGACCTCTTTTTTCCTCATCCTTTTCTCATTGCCCGCCCTTCTGCCTTTCTCACCCCTCTGTCCTTTTGAGCTCTTTTTCGCTCTGTCTCTTCATTTACCTTTTGCACTCTCACACTTTTTCATCTTCCCATTCGCTGTCTGTATTTCTCCATAACTATATCTTTCTTCCTCTGTCTCCGCCCACCCAAGTTTTTTCTCTTTCCCTTTCCCTCTTTGGGGACCCTCCCCCATGCTCCCCTGCCCCATCCTCCTTTCCCCTTCCCGTCTTCTCATCCCTCCATTCCCATCTTTCCTCAGCAATTACCAGCTCTGGCTGGGTCGCCACAACTTGTTTGATGACGAAGACACAGCCCAGTTTGTTCATGTCAGTGAGAGCTTCCCACACCCTGGCTTCAACATGAGCCTCCTGAAGAACCACACCCGCCAAGCAGACGAGGATTACAGCCACGACCTCATGCTGCTCCGCCTGACGCAGCCTGCCGAGATCACAGACGCTGTGCAGGTCGTGGAGTTGCCCACCCAGGAACCCGAAGTGGGGAGCACCTGTTTGGCCTCCGGCTGGGGCAGCATCGAACCAGAGAATTGTATGTGGGGGCAGGCTGTGCAGCCCAAGGCGGGGATGGGGACTCCTGCCTCCGAGGGAGAAAGGGCCAGGGAAGCAGGTGAGGTCGGGCTGCAGCCCTTTTTCTCCCGGGTTCGTAGTCTCATTTCCAGATGATCTCCAGTGTGTAGACCTCGAAATCCTGCCCAATGATGAGTGCGCCAAAGCCCACACCCAGAAGGTGACAGAGTTCATGCTGTGTGCCGGACACCTGGAAGGTGGCAAAGACACCTGTGTGGTGAGGCAGCCCTGCCCCAGGCTCTGGAAGGGCTGGGGGAGGGGACCCAGCCTCTGAACTGGCTTCTGAGAGCTAACCAGGCATCTGCTGCACTGCTTCCCAGCTAGCTGTAGCCAGCCGCCCCGTCAGTGCCCCAGGTCCCCCTCCTTTCCCCGCCCATCCAGGGACAACTGCATCTCACCCCACACACCAGAGTTCACCATTCCTCCTGGCAACGGGTAGTTACTATCAGAGAAAGCTCCCTGGAGAGGTGGCCTCTGCAATGCGCCCGCAGGGGCAGCATCCTGCAGATGGTCGTGCGCCTGCTCCCCGTGACCTGTCTGCAGGCACTGTCCTCCTGGACCCTGGTCCGTGTGCAGGAGCTGGACCCTGAGGCCCCTTCCCCCTTGGCCAGGACTGCAGCCCCAGTCCCCTCTGTGGGAACCCCTGCCCACCTTCCTCTGGGAGTAGGCACTGGAGGCCCTGTCTGAGAGCTGGGGCTCCCCAGGCAGAACTTGGGCCCCGTCGACCTTTCTTACTCTCCCCTCCCACCTTGTGCTCCCAGGGTGATTCAGGGGGCCCGCTGACGTGTGATGGTGTGCTCCAAGGTGTCACATCATGGGGCTACATCCCTTGTGGCAGCCCCAATAAGCCTGCTGTCTTCGTCAGAGTGCTGTCATATGTGAAGTGGATCGAGGACACCATAGCGGAGAACTCCTGAATGCCCAGCCCTGTCCCCTACCCCCAGTAAAATCGAATGTGCATCAAATGTGTGTCACCTGTCTTTCCAGGTTTGGTGCACCTGGACCCACTCGGCTGAGGCTGCGGCCACCCCGGCTGTGTTAATCTTATGCCTGGAGGTCTGAGGTCACCAGCAGGTGGGGAAAAGAAGGGGCTGTGACAGGTGCAGACAGTCAGGGAAGGGCTCAGATTCCAAAGGGTAAGTCAGGGACGCCAGACCAGTTCACTCACACTAGGATGGACACTGACCTGGTGGGGAGGTGGGGGCACTGGAGGGTCCGAGGCTGAGAGGTTAGTAAGTGCTCATGTTTTATTGTGGCGGGGAAGCCAGGAAAGGTACAGAGGGATGTTACTGCAAGCCATGCCTTCCGGGGAAGGGGGGCGTTCCGCAGAAGGGCGGAGTTTGCACCAAATGCTGAGCGGTGCTGTGTCCACCTGGGGACAAGGGTGGATATCGGAGCTGAGGCTGGAACTCCAGGAAAGAAGTTCCATGCAGACCACCCTGGCTGAGGGGGTGGAGAGTGGCTTCAGGGTGTGGCCTGCGAAGGCTAGGCACCAGGGGCAGGGCCACACAAACTAGCCACACTGTGAGCTTAGTGGGGCGCTGGACAAATGTCTGCAGAACGGGAGGGGATGTTGGACCTCTGGGGTGGCGGTGCTGTGAGGACCCAGTGGGCAAGGACAAAGCCGCAAAGGGCAGGCCCTAGAGCCATGTTTGGAGTTTGCCACCAGTCCTCTTAGATCGTGGCCTGATCTAAGGGGGTGGGGCCTGAGGGGAGGTCTAATATCCGGGGCGTGGCCACGCTGAAGGGGTTGGCATGGCCATTGCTACCGGTCAGTGTCCTGAAGAGCTCGGGTGCTATTCTGGGAGGTGCTTGGGTCTCCTTCCTGAGGGCCCAGGGTGTGCTCGGAGTCTGTCTGAGTTCCGCTGTTTGGATGTCCGCCTTGCTGTGCCCTGCTGCAAGGCCCACCCGCGATAGCTCAGCCGCCGCGCATTCAAGGGCTGCCCTCTGCTCCACATGCCCACTGGGCTTAGGTAGGACACGGCTCCTGGGAGATGGCTAGGTGGGCCACTGGACTCCGAGTCCCACTCTCAGACACCCTCAACAGCACCCTCAAAGTTATCTAAGACACCTCGGTCACCCCAGTCATCTCCAAAGTCACCCTACTTCCACTCTAGTCTCTGCTCGTCACCCCCCAAGGTCCCCTAGTGGCCCCATTCACATGCCAAGAACCTCCTCAGACATCCTAATGTCATCTCTTGTTGACACCTCAGAGGCTCCACAAAACACACATAGATTTGCACACAAGAAAAACTTTCAAGTCAAACACTCTAAAACCAATGTGCCCAAAAGCTTAGTTCCAGTTTACAGTGGACATTAATCCAACTTAGATTTCCAGCAGAAGAGAGTTTCACCTGTGTCTGAGCTGCTACATCTCCTCCTTTTGGCCCCTTTTCTACTTTGTCTACTTTTCAATAGTGCAAAATTGTTTTAGCCAAATAGGCTAAGACCTCGTCTGCTTTGTTTCTGGCAAACTTCACATGTCTAACACCCAACAAGAAAGAAAAAAGATCATCATATACACAGAACAGTAACAGCACTCTGGGAATTTGGGAAAATATCAGACCTCTTGGTTTTTTGTTTTTGCTTTGTTTTGTTCGTAGAGGTGGGGTCTCACTGTTACCCAGGCTGCCCACTATGCATTTCACCTAACTCACATAACCCTCCACCTAACTCACGTAACCCTGGTTGAGGGATTCTCCTGACATACGCTGCCCTCGGGGCCACAGAGGTAATCATGTGATTCTGGCTGAGCCAATCACAGTACCCCATGCCGCAGACCCTGCAATTGGCCCAAAGATGGACACATGACCAAAGCCAATCAATCAAGCTCTGCCCCAGGACTTTTTATTAGGAAGCCGTCAGAGAAGAGCAGTCTCTCCTCAAGGATTACAAGCCTGGAGCTGCCTGAGCCTTGGACCCAGCCTCACGGGGAGAGTAAAACTAAGAAGGAAAACAGACAAGAGAAAGAGCATTGAGATGTCACTCAAGTCCCTGGCTCTCGTCATTCCAGAGAGCAGCTCACTCTGTGGTTTGGTCAGAATGAGTGGACATTTGCAGCTTACCTGCCTGCTATGCATTTCACCTCCTGCCCATTCCCTATTCTCAGCCCCAGTTACAGGCCAATCAGCAAACTGTACTTCACTGTCCATATAATTGGCTCGGGGTGCTCCTGTACCCCAAGCCACACAGGACCCTTGCAAGAACTAGTGGTAACTTTTTTCTACCAATCACTCGGCAGTTATTATCAACTGCCAAGTTGCTAACAGCTCTGCCAGTTTTTTGTCTGTCTGTTCTCAGATCCATTCCCCGCTCTGCCCTGTTCTGCACTGCAAGGACCACATTTCCCAGCCTCCTTTGCTCACCATCTTATCACTGTGTTTGGCTAATGGGAGGCACTGGCAGAAGACTAGTTCTGGGAGGAGAGGGCAAGCCAGGGTATTTATCGCCCTGTCTATCTCTGCATATGGTGGGTCTTCAGTAGTAGTTGTATCTATTCTCTGATTCTAGCCACTTCTGAGCAATCCAACCGTGAGCCTATGCCTTCCAGAGGGCTCCAGTTTCTGGACTGTAGTAATACCACCTCCTCCCTTTGTCCTTCTGGCTGAGCAGCAGCATCCTGTAGTTCCTAACCCCTGGTTTGCCTCATTGTTTCCTATTGGCTTCTCAGCTCCTCTGTTACCCATGAACCAATTCCCTGTATTTACTTCCTTCTGAAGAATCTGGAATGATTTATTTTCCTAACTGGATTCTGACTTGCCACTACCTAGAGCCTTGAGAATGAAGCCAATCCAAGTAGCCAAAAAACAGTAATATCTGATACTATCACTTGGGCCCCTGGATCCAGCCATGCCTGAAGGCATTCCTACCCTTACCATTTTTCGCTCAGGTGATTCTATAAAGGATCACCTAGCTAGTTCAAGTTAGTTCACTCAAGCTAATACAACTAGTTCACTCAAGCTCGTTCAAGTTAAGAGTTTGTGTCACTTGTGGTTGGGCACGATGGCTCACATCTGTAATCCCAGCACTTTGGGAGGCCGAGGCAGGTGGATCATCTGAGGTCAGGAGTTCGAGACTAGCCTGGCCAACATGGTGAAAATCCATCTCTACTAAAAATACAAAAGTTAGCCAGGCATGGTGGCAGGCACCTGTAATCCCAGCTACTCGGGAGGCTGAGGCAGAAGAATCGCTTGAAACCGGGGGGTGAAGGTCTCAGTGAACCGAGATCGCATCACTGCACTCCAGCCTGGGTGAAAGAGTAAAACTCCGTCTCAAATAAAAAAAGTAAAAAAAAAAAAATTTTTAAAGAGTTTATGTCACTTGTGACCCAAAAACTCCTGACTAATTCAAGTCCCTTCCTTGGGACAGCAGGGAGCACAGAATTCAGTGTTCCCTGCAAACCAACTCCAAAATCACAATCAAAACCTAAAAATAAGTAATGAGAATTTAAAAAAACAGAACTGAATGTTCATTAAAAATCTGGAGGGAGAAACTCCCAAAGCCAAGAAGCAATTAATAAAGTCACAGAGACAAAGGTGAAGAAATTAAACTACCTAAAAATTCCAAGGCCGGGCAAAGTGGCTCATACCGGTAATCCCAGCACTTTGAGAGGCTGGGGCGGGCAGATTGCTTGAGCTCACAAGTTTGAGACCAGCCTGGGCAACATGGCAAAACTCCATCCACCTCTACCAAAAATACAAAAATACAGCTGGGAATAGTAGCGTTCCCCTGTAGTCCCAACTACTTGGGAGGCAGAGGTGAAAGGATGGCTTGAACCTGAGAGGCAGAGGTTACAGTAAGCCAAGATCTCATGCCAGTGCACTCCCGCCTGGGTGATAGAGCAAGACTTTGTCTCAGAAAAAAAAAAATTCTAGATTGATGTACCTTAAAAAATAATGATAAGGGCCGGGCATGGTGGCTTATGCCTGTAATCCCAGAACTTTGGGAGGCCAAGGAGAGTGGATCACCTGAGGTTAGGCATTCGAGACCAGTCTGACCAACATGGTGAAACTCCATCTCTATTAAATATACAAAAAAATGAGCCAGGCCTGGTGGCACCAATTACCTACAATTCCCAGGTCAGTATCCAAGACTCTCCACCAGCCAGGAACAGTCACCGGGTCGGTATCCAAGAGCCTCCACCAGCCAGCGGTAATCGCCCGGTCAACATCCAAGCCCCCTTGCCAATTATTCATAATCACCAGGTCAGTATCCAAGACCCTACAACAGCTATCAGCAGTCAACAGATCAGTATCCCAGAAACACCAGCCATTACCTACAGCCACCATTTCAGTATGCAAGGTGCTTCACCAATTTTCCAAACTCGCTGCTTCAGTATCCAAGGCTTTCACCTCCTGACTAATCATCAGTTATCCCCAGCAACAAAGATCATGGCCAAAACTACCTGTCAACAACCAAGACTGCCCACTTAAGTGTTCCAACCCCCAAGTTCCAAGCCTGGGCCATTATCAATGTGCCCCCATCACTTACCGACAGCCCCGAGCCCAGTATCAAAAGCATTGAATCAGTTATCTGGGAGTCCCAGGAGAGTCTGAAGGCAAGTGTGCTCAGCTCTGAACTCAACCAAGGTCCTCTAGACAACATCCAAAACCTTTCATTGTGCAGCTCCATTGAGGTCAATTCTGGCAGGTATGAGGCAGTGCCCAGGCCGGAGGCCAGGTTCTGAGCTAGACTTCTGGGGGAGGACTCCTGCCTGCATGAGTATGACCAAGATGCTTGGAAGGCCTGCCCTGTCCGTACCACTCCTGGGACCCATCTCTCCACTTTATCCCAGGGACCCCTTCACCTGTCACAGAACAGTTTCTTCCTTCCCTACAATGATCTTCACAGGCACTTTATGATTCTCACCACCCCAGGGTGGTCCTCCCAGCCACGGGATGGTCCTCCTTGCCATAGGATGATCCTCACTGACTGAAATGGTCCTCACTGACTGAGATGGTCCTCA